AAGATATATGAGCAGACATCTTCAAAAATGTGGGCCAGAACCTACTTTTAGGCTGTTATCCAAAAAAGAACCCCAAACCCCCCAGAACCACATCCACATGTGCTTCGCTTTAGGCTTGCAACAGTCTAGGGACAATTTATTAGATGAGACTGGGCATTCAGCTGTATGACTCCAAACTCACTTCACTGCAGGCAAAAGAGATGTTTTTGTTTTACAAAGATGTGACTGAGACTAAAATTCAATCCGTTAATGGCACTGCTATTAAAAGGCACTAATAGTAACTGAAAGGTCTTCAGATATTTTTAGATGTTATCCCATCCTGCACCGCTTATCAAGAACAGTCAACTTTTATTTAAAAGCAAACAAACTTTTATTCACTATATCTTGTCCCTTCACAATCAAATTTGTGGTTTTAATGGGATTACTCATTCAAAACCATCTCCCTGTAATGAGCCAGACCGTATTCATTAAGGTAGCTGTCACACAGCAGATGTGAGCACAACTAGAGAAATCTCTGCTCCTCAGTGGGCCTACATTGTGCTCCCTGGCACCGTGTGTAGATGTTACAGGCAATCACAGCAGCTCAGGAAGCACAGGACAGAGTAGGGAGAGAGGAATGGCTAACTCATAGCAACACATGGCAACCCTTCTACACAGCTTAGCCAAAAGCCAGAGGGAAGACATTTTATTTCTCCTTTCATTGCTGGGGCTTTATTTTTAATATGTGCTGCTTCTTAAGTTTCAAACTTAATATTCTTGACTGACCCTGGTTCTTCTACCAGTCTATCTTTAGAAGGCAAATGATCTGAAAAGTTTTCCTCCCCTTTTGCTCATGCTTTCGTCTTTTTTATGTTGAATTTTTCAATTATAGTGACTGGCACTTCATGAAATTGTCTTCTGGAGTTGCAAAGTAATTTTGTTTATGCAACTGAGATACAGAAGGAAGGTGGAGAAATGAGATGCAGAAGACTTCAATTTCTTTTATTTCACATCACTAAGCTTAGAGTTTACTGGTGAAAAAGGCAACATTGCTCCTTGGATCAAACTCATTGATCAGCTGTGTGACTTTAATATAAAGTCTATACATACACTATGAAGCCACTTATCCAAACCCTGACAAGGCTCACCCAACCCTTCCCTCTTTTAAGGTAGCTAATTTGGAAGTTGCGCAATTTATGTGTGTCTTCCATCAAGATCTTCAGGAGCGCTGCTTGCCTTGTTCTTCAGGGTTGTCACATTTCGCGGGCATGGCGACATCCACTCTCATTTGCATCATCTCCTGTGTGATGGATTATACAGGAGTGTCCTTCACTGTGCCATATTTAGCGCTGTTCTTGCCTCTGATTAGAGTATGCAAGAGTAGCTCCACCTAAAGCTGTGCAAGCTCGGCAGGGGTTCACGCAGGAACACGGGAACTGCCATACGAGATCAAACCAGTGGTCCATCAAGACCCAGACCCTGTCTAGCACGGACCAGTGCCAGATGTTTCTGAAGGAAGCACACAGCTCCACTAATTTAGCTTAGAGCTAAATTTGTTTTTTAACCCGAGGCAGTCAAGAAAATCCTGAAGGTTGGAGGTTTATACTCATGCTATTCAATCCTTAAATCGTGTAAGACCTAGGCTCTCACAGATGCTCCTGGCAACAGGGTCTTGCCAAGTACTGGTCACAGCAATGTGTTTATTTTATAGGTGAAACCACAACTCAAGAAGGGAACCTTTCTTACAAATCTCAAAGTCGGTGATACTTCGCTAGACTAAGGGAGAGAGCATCTGATCACCACTGAAAAGCCAATGAGCTTCAAGACAGAAACCTGTCTGATAGCTGTGAAATAGTCTCATAGGCTTGTCATTTTTTCAATTTTTTATATATATATATATATATATACACACACATACACATATACGTGTACAAACACACACACATACATACATAGATATCCTTTTCCCACTGTAGCCACTTCATAAAGCACATGGACCTTTCCATGAGATCAACACACCAGCCAGGGATCAGAGTCCAGTAGCTGCTTGCCATCCATCCTGCCCGGAATGACAAGCAGAATAGGGATGAGCTCACAGTGCAGGAGCAGGAAAAACAGCCTGCTGGAGTATTAGTCTAGGAAAAGAGAAAACCCACTGTGCCACAGGCACGCTAACACACTTAGAGAAAACAACTGCCTCCAAGTGCAAGCCATCAGAAACCCAATTCACTGCAGAAGGATAATGCTTTTAGGATGACCCTCCTGCTCTCACATGCTTTGATGGTTATGAAATGGAATAAATAGAGTTTCTCGAAAAGCTCTCCTAACCAATCTGCAAGGCAACACAAAGAGTGATATTACTGGGTTATGAAGTGTCTCAAATGTCTGTACTACAGGTTTTGGAGACTAACTGGGGAAATGTATTAGGAAAACAAAGGAAGGAAAAGAAAAGGGGAATTTGCAGGACTCTGAGGGATAACAGATTTCCTGTTTCAGCTTGACTGTTCAGAAGTCGTTTCATATTTCTACAAAAAAAATGTGAGCTAAATTTTAAGTTGCTGGAGATATGTGAGCTGTGATGGTATGCCTCTCTGTTGCTGCACTGGTTCTATTTAGGGTAGCGCTATGGGGACCACATTCTTACCTCAGTGGTGGTTGTATATCAAGAAAAAGAGCCTGCCTTCATTTCTGATTATAACACCCATTTTATAGTTTCCTATATGTCCCCCTCCAAACTACATCAACACACGACAAGACTTTTCAACCCATACACATTTACACAGTGCTCATGAAAATAAATATACGGACTCACAGGGTTTATTGAACACACTCCAGTTATTGCTTGGCTACAAAAGCAAATGTCTGCAGATAGTCCTTACTGTGGACTATCACTCTCTGCTGGAGTGCTGTAAGAGTGCAGCAGCGGATTTAAAAAATAATTATGCTGCACACTAACTTGTGGTACCCATATGACTCCCATTATATGAAGCAACATCTGTGGCCCACACAGTCAGAAAAAGAGGCTTTGACCGAGCTGCAGCTCTGCTACAGTAAGTGAAGTGTCTGGTAACACAGTCCTGCAGCAGGAGACCATTACAGCCCCTGCTGCTCCTGGGCATCTGGGCAAAGGGAGCAGGTAACAGGAGGACATTTAAGCCCTTTTTGGTGACTATTCAGTTCCGAATGATCTAGACAACACCTGACGAGCTCCATTTTAAATGTCCTAGAAGTGGTTGGTTTCCACGAGCATGACAAGCCTGGCATGCTGGAGGGGGGCTGAAAAGCTGCCATAAATCAAATAAGCAGCTGGGGTCTGTGCACCCAGGAAGCGATTACCACCACGATGGGATGAGCCTTGCTGCCCCATGGCCAAGGCAGCCCGCTCTCTGCTCTCCTCTTCTAGGGAAAGAAATCACCTCTCAAAGTCTTCACTGCAAGTGAGGAGTCATACCTCTCCGTTCACTTCTGCAGGTGTACTTCACCACACTTGCTCAGTTTGGCAGAGCACAGCTCCAAGCATGCTTTTCCCAATACAGGTTAACCTATCCTTCTATCCCCTGTGTGACCTGCTGAGTAACAGCTATCACAAAGCATGCAGAGCGGGCTTTATGACCCTTGAAGAAAATAAATCAGACTAGCATGTGACATTGGTTGTCCACAGCTGCATGAATAAGGAGGCAGGGATTCCCTCCGTAACTGGCTGGAAAGAAAATAATTGCACAAATAGCTCCTCCTAGGAATGAAATAAAAATTTTTTTGAATAATCAGATATTTTAAAAAGGGAGATTTGGAGGCAAGCTGAATAACAGGGGATGCCCTCTGATTTTAATTTTTTTTTTCCTTCTGCAGGAAAGAGTTCTTTTTATAAGTGTCTTTAAAACACAGCCAAAAGTAATAGGAATACAATCAATACTAGATATGAACAGAGACACTTTTTCTGTAGCTGCAATTAGCTATTTTCAAAGAGCAGGCAATGAATAATGTATGCAAAAGGGTGGGTGGAGGGGTTACTTATTTTTTCTTCAAGCAGATTATTTTAGCATGGGTGAAAGACTACCAAGCTAAAGAATGGTGTTCAGTATCACGCAGTGTATAAACAGCTGTGGCTTAGCACATAATAAAAGCCATTAAGGGGCTGAGCCAAAAAATGTATCTAGCTATGAGGAGGGGAAAGAGGCAAAGTACCGTGTAATGATTGCTTAGATTCACATTTGCCATTCAGCCTTTGTGCACATGAGTCCATTCTTCATACTAAGATCTCACCTTTCTCTTCATTAGATTTTCCTAAACTGCTTCAAACAGTATCTTGGCCTTTTCAGAAACTCTTTGTTTATGCCAAGGCTGCCAGATCACACAGTAGACATTAAGATCTAGAATATGAATTGGCCACACATGCAGATAACAGGTGAGAACAACGGGGGTCATCCCAACATTGCCTCTAGGTGGCCCTTGGCGTGGAGCGCCTGGGCCTAAGCAGGACAACTACTCACTTACTTCCATCTAGGAGCAAGGAGGGGTGGAGGACGCCAAAAGCTTTGTCTTCATCCTCTTCACTGCATGGACTAGCCAAGCCCATGAAGGGTAAAATAAAAATTCACATTCATTATAACAGGAGAGGAGATTCTCCAAGCCAGGTGCTCAGGCACCTGTCCCTCTGCTGAGCCTATTTGTCACCTTGCTCCTCTGCTCCCTTGTCCTTTGCAGCACGGGTCTTTATTAAGAGGTTACCTCACACTTTCTCTGCTGCACCAAAGTCATGCTGGCACATTTTCCTCGCTTCTGGCTATGATTCAGCACCCCCCCAGCCTGAGGGCTTGCTGCAGAGTGCAACTCTTGGTTAGAAAAGCAAAAGTCTGAGCTGGTTTTGTGGCAAAGTTTATCCTCAGCTTTGCTCGCGTTTACATCCAAGTCAGCAAATAGTTTCAACGCAGGAGGCTTTGCATAAGCATATTACCACAGGTCTTTAGTTAGTACATTTTTCCCCTCTGCTAATGCACAAGCAAACAAAGGCAGTCTTTTACCTCATGTTCTCCTTCCTGTGAACTGTCACATACATTTCATAGACTCTCCCTTGTGGAACGGCCCCCGCTGGGATCAGCAAGCTTACTCCTGCAGAACAGAAGAGACACAAAAGATAAAGTGGAGAAAAAAAGGCAAGTGGGTCTGTGGAGTGACAGGAGAGGCAGAAGATGAAGCCTGCAATGCCAGATTTTTCATCCAACCTTGCCAGAAGACTCTAAATGACCTCAGCAACTTGTGAGAAAAAGTATTTACTGCAACCCTGGCATCTCTGGTGGTCAACTGGCCTGTTCTTATTCCTCTTGTGCACTGGCACTGAAATACAGGAGTGGAGAAGAGGGTTTTCTTCCCTTTTATTTTATTTGAAGAGCAGACAGATGGTTACGTTGCTGCTTACTTTGTAAAATGATGGAAAAACAAACAACTCTGTAACAGGACATTTCTCTCTAGGCAATTCTTACTTAATTAAAATCAGGCAAGAAAGGCAGTGGAGCACTGTCCCAGGAAGCACCAAGAACAAGTTGTTTCCTGAAAGATGGCTTCTGTGATTGGCACCCCGTCTTTTAACGCACTCAGCTTCTAATTAGACTACCAGGGAGACAAAATTGCCTAGTCCTGTAAAGTAGCTCAAATTCAGGTACCTAACCATGAAAAAAATCTGGGCAAATATGCTCGGTGCCCTTTTCAGTGGTGATTGCACTGATTTGCACACTTGATTACAAAACACTGTTCTTACATTCCTGCCATTTCAGAAATGTCCTGCTGTTACATGACAAACACGGCACATGAACGAACTATTTCACTCTGCTGGACACGTCTAAGCCAGCTGTCTTTGCAGATGTGGATTAGCTGGGAATCAGTGCAAGGATTTTAATACGGTTATTACTACAAACCTACAGGCAGATTATTTGCGTATATGCATATGCACAAGAGAGGCTCTACAGAAACCTTGCATGGCCCTGTCTCTTTTCTTTAGCATATGTGAGTTGGTTATGCTGGAGACCTCCCATGTGTTGGTGTACCGGGGTGTAGTCACATACATGGCTTTGAAAGGGAGGGATTAGCTAGGAAGGCATTTTCCGTGAAAGCCTTCTGAAACTTGTTTCTTTACAGGCCTGTTGTTACAACCTCATCTGTGCATGTTCTCCACTGTAACAGGGCAGGCGTAGTGTAAATGAAGGGCTTTGATTGTATCAGTAGGAGGATATACATACATCTAGAAGCAGCACGGAGGCATACACGGTAGCGGTAGACAGATTGATATATTTTACAAAACTTATTTTAATCATTTTGAAGGGATTACAGCAATAAATAACCTTTTTTTTCTTTATAAATTGATATTAATATATGCGAATTAAATGTGACTAATAGAGTTTGCTGAAAATGTGCACCATCATGGCATAAGAAACCCAAGTATTAATATCCACCTTCAGCTGCTACTTAGAGAAATGTGAAATCCAGGATTTTATAGCATGAATTTTCAACATTGCTCAGCAGTCAGCCCCAGATTTCTTTAAGTAGTTCAGCTTTCACTTAAATTTAATGGCTATTTTTGCCCCCTGTTCCACAGTAGCTCAGAAAGGAGGGCTACTGCTCATTGATGACTTTTGGCTGCTTCCTGGGCAGTGTCGGGCTGCATCCTGGAAGGACCAAACCACCTAGGTCCCTGGTCACCTAGGCATTTTGTTCTCTCCATAACATCAACAGACAACAAGAAAAGATCCAGCAATGGAGCAGGAGGCAAGGGTAGGCATATCTCCTCGGTCAGGGTATCGTGCTGTAAAATGGCCAAGAGCTGACCACAAGATGTAGAGGAAGGCAGAAATGCTGTGAAACCTTGAGCTATCGTGTCAGGTAGCTGTGAGCTGTGGTTTCACACGTACTGTGGTCCTACCTGGACTCAGAGCTCCAGAGAAACAAGGCAGGGGGACTCTTGACCACTATGTAGCCTGCTTATCCCCCACATCCAGTGTTTTATGCATTTGATTCAACCCCACTTTAGATGTTAATGTTGCTCTTCATTAGCATGCCAAACCCATGGGAACATCTAGGTGCTGCACTTCCTTTGAACATCAACACTTCATTTAGGAACCAAACAGTAGTATGGCTTCCCTAAAAAATCCAGCTGCAAGAGCTGAGCTCTCCCAAGGCTGCCCAGGAGCTCCCTGGATGCTCTGAAACTGCCTCCTGGTGTCTGGGCGGCTTGAAAGGGGCCTGGCAGCCTGGCCTTGTACAGTATGAGAAAGACTGAGCAGCACTTTGCAATTACATCAAAAGGCACTCGTTGCTCAGTCCCCCTCTTTCCTAGTTGTAAAACAAGTCAACAATATGCATAACAAGGAGAGGAATACAAGAAAAGACACTCTTGGGCCTTATTTTCCTCGGGTATGTAATGTGTGCAGGAAAAAAGCCTTCCAAAAATTAATATTCTGCTGTCCTACTTCAATGCCACACAGTCTGCAATGAATTGGAAGTGGAACAACCGATTTGTTTTTTAATTAATTTGTCCTTTTTATGTGTGATGACAGGATTGAGGCTTTCTGGCTCACAGTCCCTTTTCTAGAGCTGCATGAAAGGAAAAGGTCAAGGATGGTGAATCTCACTTCACACAGGGAAGCTCTGAAGGCTCTCCTGTCTCAGAAAGTGGCTAAGAGCCCTGCAATTTTCTGTTAAAAAGGTGGCCAGGACTTTGGGAAAAGAATACTTGAAGTACCTTGGTAGATGTGTATGGGGGGAAAAACCCCATCTGTTTGTTCTGAACAAAGAAAAGGCAGAGTCTCGGGAGAGACCCTGCTTTTTCCTGCATAAAAGCAAGCTAACTCCACTTTTAAAAATACAAAACAACTGAGCCTTTAAGCCAACATGGCTAGCACTTACCTGAATTCGGAATTACTAGGTGACCTCCTAAAGAGTTGAAGGTCCCAAATGCAGTGCACGATGGGTCTGTTTGCCGAGCAAGGCTCTGGTTTTTCATGTTCAGGGTCTCATTCTCCAGCAGAGACTGTGTGATCTGCGGGGACAGCTTGGAGGAGAAGTCAGAGAGGTCATCCTGGGGGGTGACTGCACCAGAGGTGTTATAAACCTTGATTTTCAGGTTGGGCAGTGGGTCCAAGATCGGAGAATTGGTCATTGGGATTTTATCAGAGACATCATGCAAGGCATAAACAGGACCCCTGTACATGGCTGCAGCTGAAGTGAGGTCTGGTGGCACTGCCAGGAGGTCTGCATTGGAGATGAGAAAGAAGAACCATATTACTTCTCTATTCTGATGAATTTCTTCCAGGTAATGGTTCGGGTTTGCATTCCGTATTTTGTATTTTGCACTTCCTACCAAAGGTTAAGATACGCAAAGTCCTTGCAGACTGACCTTAGTCTCCTTTTCCATGCATCTTTCCAGCAAACTCCCAGGGCTTGTATTGCCCCAGCTGCTATGGAATCTAATCGTCATACAAAATTACAGCACGTTTCTGCTCTAAGGATTTTTTCACTGGGATTATTTTTCCAGGCTGCACTCAGATTTCCAGTATGACATGCTTAGCTTCAGGGCAAGATGTTTTCCATACTCAGTAGATATAGTTTTATTAACTAATACCCCCTCCCTAAATGCTAAGTGACAATCATTAACCAATTTATCCAATTGGCCTAACGATAGCATTCCTGAAATAAAAGACAGAAAAAATCTATGAAGTCATCATGCCCAAGACTCCCCACAGTGGGGGATTAGTACCTGCATCACACATTTTTGAGATTTGTTTTAAAAGTATCTCCAGCAAAGAAAATGACTTTTCTGCTAATCTTCCTCATGACAACTCTCTTGTCACCTTAACTCTTACTTTGATTTATTCTTTTTGCACACATACTGCGAAAAAAGAGGAACTCTACAGCCTAAATACGGGTCTTGAAAAAGCCAGTACTAACTTTAGAGTGTTTTTTTTCTGGCCAGTGAAGTGTAGAAATAATCAAGATGTTACACACCAGTGATAAAAATGCTTATTATTAAATGATGTTCTACTGCAACTTCTTCTACATTGTCTATTGAAAGTACAGTACTTCTTAAACTACTATTTATGCCTGTGGAGACAGGGCACAATAAAAAAAGCTATTAGTGAAAAAAGGGGAGAAAGATGTGATAGAATTACTGTACTGTAGTATCACTCCTGCCTCTGTTGTTTCTGTCAGAGCTTTGCCTTTGATTTCAATTTGAGCTGGACCTCTATTTTCATAAAAGTCTTTGTGTTTCACTCTCACATTCACGCTCTCTCTTCAGAAGTTAAATTCCTCTGCTTTATGCTCTTGAGCACATCTGAAAAACGCCAATGTGAGTTTTGAGCATTTGACTATCAGAAACTAATGGGTATGATCTTTCTCCCTTTTGTCAAGTGCCAACAAGCATCCAGCGAGTATCATTCATGTAGCCCAAGAGACCATAACCTTATAGCATCTTCCTGAACTGGTCACCATGGAGTGAAATGACAACTAACCTTGCCTTGCAGCCTTGATGTTAACAGGCTGAAATCCCCCATTTAGCGCCGAGGAGTCAATAATATCTGACTCAAAGTCACGGTGGTTCTTGCGATAGACAAACAGGGCCACGACCACAGAAATAGCCAGGCACACGATCACAGCTATGACGATCCCGACGTAGAGAGCAACGTCATCCGAGTCAGGAGCAGCTAGAGGGAGAGAGGCCAGGAACCTTGAAGAAATGTGCTCCTCACAAGGACTTTCAAGAAAACACATTCTTATTATTCTCATTTCCTGCAGATATTTACTACCTTTTTTATAGGTTAATTTAAAATCCATTTCCAAAGCTATATAACAGGTCTATGCCCTTTTGATGGAAAATGATCTTTGATTTCTCTCTAACTTGTGTTCTAACTCTTTCCCTATCTACTCGTTCATCTATCGAGTACCCAGGCTGTGAACTACTAAGCATAACAAACATTAGACTTAGTCTCATGAAGCAAATTCACTCTATGAAATAAAATAGTATGTCTTAGTGACACAGTGTCATAATATTGGTATTTAGTGGTTCATCTAATAACAAAAACCATGCTGTGCGTTTTTAAACTTTAGAAGCCTAATTTTTTAATCAAATAAAAAGTCAGAAAAACCAAAAAGTCCATTTTCTAATGGAATGCCTGGAATACCAGGATGTATCTTTGAGTTTGCCTTTTTTTTGAACTATAATGTGTCAAGACATTTTTACCTTCGAACCATTTCCATTTTAAAAAAATAAACTAGTGAAGCAGGGAATCAAACACTGACTTCTCATCACTGGCATTAACACATACATATTTGGATAAAAGCCAAAGCAAGCATAAGAAATAATGTGGTAATTTACTGAAAGGAATCCAGATTTATTAGAGCTGTCTTGTGAGAAAATGGCTATGATATTTCTACTAGCTGCTTATACCGTATCTTCAGCACTAATTCCAGGCTAATCTCTAGCATCATTATCCACTAGACTTTTTTTTCGAAAAGGTCTGACTACATGATCAAAATCTGATGTGTTTCTATACAATGAAGAATCCCAGTTCTAGAGATAATGTAATGAAAAAAGAAAGTGAGAAACCAAATCAGACTTTTTTAGTACCCCATTTTTGTGTAGTTTGAAACATGTGAAATAATTTTTATTTTATTTTCTTGCTCCCCATCTTCTAGCCATTTAAGCCAGGCTGCCCTGCAGCTGTAGAGGTGAGAGCTGGCAGATGTTGAAAGGGACTGATGAATTGCTGTAAGCTCCTAGCTATCATACCTTCAATGTACCAGCCTCAAAACATCACATTTTTTTCCCCCAGCAGTTCAGGAAGCAGATCCCTGAGTTTCAGCGCAAAGAAAGTTATCCCTCCACCACATTTTTTCCATTTGCTAAGGACATTTTCATGAGAAGAGGGTTCATTCTCTCCAGTTTCTTTCTCCGAGGCAGCATCTTCTCCCATTTTCCTCGTGCGTAAGGGCTGTTATCATTCTGTGGCAACCCGCTGACAGAGAAACACTGTGACTGCTGTCAAGCAAGCAGCATGCCACTTACGCTGCTGAATAGGTTCCTCTTTGCCTAGTCACACAGAGCTGGTGTAACACTAAAGCTTGACCCAAGGAACAGCATCAAATTAGCACCCAGGAACGTAAAATCAAACATTAAACTTACAAGAAAATCCATATTCATTCTGCGTTCTCTGTTCAGTTGAAATAGGATAAATGAAACCTTAAAAAGAAAGAAATTAAACAAAAATGGGAACAAAATCAAATTAATGAGGAGAACAAAAAAGGGAAGCATGAAAAATGGTTTAATTAAAAAAAAGGAGGAAAAGAAACTGATGGCACTTTAAAATTCTGATACAGCACAGAATTATGATTTTGCATCCCCTGTCTCCTCCAGAGCCTTACTAAGAATTAATAAGCAGGCAGATTGAATTTCTAAGCCAAAATCGGTCTCGAGTCACTAACTTTGGAGTGCTTAAAGTCTTTCTTTTATTGAGCATAAACTCTAATGGATCTAATTTATTTCAGACATCAAGGGTCATTAGCATATGGAAAGTCTTTTTTCCCTATCCCTGCCATATGCTTTAATTCCCAGGACATGTTCGGTGAGGCTCTAAACAGTTTTTTTATTTAATTATAGTAGCTTGCTGTTGATCCAATAGAGCTAAAGGAGACCTGTCGTCACTGGTCAGAGGTTAAATACCCATTCGCCAAGCAGAGTCCATGCACAAAGCCCTCTCTCTGTATTCCCCTGGAATTATTTTATCCTGTCTTTAATACATGTTCAATAGGAATTCCTCAGGGAGCAGAGAATTTGTCAGCAAACAAGAAAGTGAGTGGCTTCTCTTCGAAATTATTACAAAATCAATAAGGCCCCTGGGGTCATAACATTATTTATTTGAAATCTTTGCAAGCACCATATATCGACAAAATCATAACACAATTTACAGCTGTATTTTGGAACGGATAAATAAGAGAGATCGTTTCCTTTGTCTTTTCTTTCTGCAGCTCCTACAGCACAGCATGCTGGAGCTGCTTAGTTTGCACGAGTCCTATGAACTCACGAAGCACCTCCCAGCTGCTTTCCGTCCATACGGGAAATGACTGAAATGCTGAAGTCCCATCCTGCTGGAAAGGTAAGTAAGTGACAAATCCAAAGGAAGTGGAGGAGTCGCTGTCAGGGACGGGATTAGAGTTGGTGTAAGACAGAAGGTACCTTTCCTCCATCACCTTCCCTTCAGTGCTTTTGAAGGGAATTTCACCCCCTCTCCTTGGATTGCACTGCAAGGAGCTTGCACAGCCGGGGGCTCCCTGCAGGTGAAATGAAACTGGAAAATGCACTCCTGATGCGTGCCTAATGCATAGGACCACATTACAGGCAGACCAGAGTAATAATCCCCAACTCCCAGAAATGCTGAGTTTGGGTGCTTGGCATCTGTTGTGCTTCACATAGCTCTCCCTGCTTTGCTGCACTGCTTGCTAATGAAGATATAGTCTATCCCAATCACAGGTACAGACACACTTTCGCCCAAAGTTTCCAGACATTAACCATTGCATAAAGGCTACTTTAACTGAAATACCAGATGTATTGGGTTTGCGTGGCAAGGTTTTGGTAGCAGGGAGGTTACAGGGGTGGCTTCTGTGAGAAGCTGCTAGAAGCTTCCCCTACGTCCAACGGAGTCAATGACAGCTGGGTCCAAGACGGACCCGCTGTTGGCCAAGGCTGAGCCCATCGGCAATACTGGTAGCGCCTCTGGGATAACAGATTTAAGAAGCCAACCCTGCACAATTGCAGCGGGAGGAGAGGAGTGAGAAGATGTGAGAGAAACAACCCTGAAGACACCCAGGTCAGTGAAGAAGGAGGGGGAGGAGATGCTCCAGGCGCCGGAGTAGACATTCCCCTGCAGCCCGCGGTGAAGACCATGGTGAGGCAGGCTGTCCCCTTGCAGCCCAGGGAGGTCCACGGTGGAGCAAATATCCACCTGCAGCCCAGGGAGGACCCCACACCAGAGAAGGTGGATGCCCAAAGGAGGCTGTGACCCTGTGGGAAGCCCGCACTGGAGCAGGCTCTTGGCAGGACCTGTGGATCTGTGGAGAGAGGAGCCCACGCTGAAGCAGGTTTTCTGACAGGACTTGTGACCCCATGGGGGACCCACACTGGAGCAGTCTGTGCCTGAAATCCTGCACCCGTGGAAGGGACACATGCTTGAGCAGTTCATGAAGGACAGCAGCCCATGGGAAGGACTCACGTTGGAGAAGTTCATGGAGGACTGTCTCCCGTGGGAGGGACCCCATGCTGGAGCAGGGGAAGAGTGAGGAGTCCTCCCCTTGAGGAGGAAGGAGCGGCAGAGACAAAGTGTGATGAACTGACCCCAACCCCCATTCGCCGTCCCCCTGCACTGCTGGGGGAAGGTGGTAGAGAAAATTGGGAGTAAAGTTAAGCCTGGAAAGAAGGGGTGGGGGTATGGGTGGGGTAAGGTGGTTTAAGATTTGGGTTTATTTCTCATTACCCTTCTCTGATATGATTGGCAATAAATTAAATTAATTTTTCTCAAGTCGAGTCTGTTTTGCCTGTGATGGTAATTGCAGAGTGATCTTGCCCTGTCCTTACCTTGACCCATGAGCTCTTTGTTATATTTTCTCTCCCATGTCCAGCTAAGGAGGGGGAGTGATGGAGCGGCTTTGGTGGGCGCCTGGCATGCAGCCAAGGTCAACCTACCACACCAGAGCAAGAAGAGCTGCTTTTTGATGGTGATGGTTTTTTTGAGGCATCATGGGACAGACTATATTGCGTGTAATATCTATTTAAAACTTTATTTCACAGCAATGATTCTAGCCTTATAATTGCTTTTAGAAATATTATGTTTTACATTCATTTATTTGGTTCTTTGAGGCAAGTTCACCTATGTGTACTCTCAGCACACATACTCAATCTTTCGTAATAACTGCTTCCTACTTCTACCAGTGTACTCCAAGTATTGGCCATAAAAAGTCAGGTAAGCTACTTCTGAGGGCTTGAGTGAATGCTTAGCAAGTGTGGGCATGAATTTACAGTACCCTAGTTACTCCCCACTTACTCCCCAGATGAACGCTGAGGCCCATATTTAGTCAACCTCAATTTCAGCTATAGCCTTATGGCCAATATTTCCTTTAGCGAGAAGCCTCTGGAGACTGAGAGGCAGCCAGTAGGAAATACAAGGCACAAGGACAAGGTGGAATTTAAGCTGGCTGCATCTCCAAACACCTTTTTGCCTCATACTCAAATCCACTGGGAAAGCTGGGGACGTCTCTCTGCATTTCGTGTGCCCCAGCATGTTCTCAGCGGAGCCAGCTGGCATGGGGCAGCATGCATCTCCCTGCTCTGCATCACCCACGGAGCTCGAACTCACCCGTGCAGTTGCAAAGGCTATTCCTCTCTCCATACATTGCATTTCAGCTGGTGAGTTTTGCATTCCAGGTTGTGACTCATTCCTGCCACATCTGAAGTGATCTAGCAACTGCCACTCAATGGGCACAAAGGACTGGATTAGCTGTGATATTATTGAAAGCATTTTCTCCTCCCAGGAAAATGGAAATCCAAATTCAAGTCTTTTCAGCAAAGTAAAGAAGTGTGGTCCTCAAATACTCTAAAAGAAATTTACCTCATTGCAACCTCTTCATAGACTCTGTCACAAATACTTATTTGCGT